GCCGGACGAAGACGTCATCATTGCTACTGTAGAAGCTGATGTCACCGCCACTTACGAGGAAGCACTCAACCAGCTGCCAGTTACAGTGGAAGACGTACATTCTGCTATGGAAAAGGACCCGTTACTGATGGAACTGCTCAACTGCCTCCAAACCGGACGGTGGCCAAATGCGCTTCCGGGAACGCCGTTGTTCAATTACAGGAGCCAACAGAAGGAACTCTTTGCTTACAACGGGTGCATTTTCTTCGGCTCCAGGATCGTCATACCCGCTACGCTGAGGAAAAAGATTCTCGGCATGTTGCACGATGGACATCCTGGGCAAACCCAAATGAAGTTGCCTACTCGAAACTTCTTTACTGGCCTGGTAGTGAAGAAGACGTCAGGAAGACTGTGGAACGCTGCGAGAATTGCCAACTTGCCGCTAAGAATCCAGTCAAAGCTGAATTAACTCCATGGCCGATAGCAAGTCGCCCGATGGAACGCTCATATTGACTTCGCGGGACCGCTCTATGGACACATGTACCTCGTTGTCGTGGATGCGTATTCCCGCTGGCCTGAAATCGTGGAGATGCAGTCGACTACGTCACAAGCGACCACGCAGGAACTCATGAAGATCTTCAGCCAATTTGGATTCCCAGAAACGCTTGTTTCAGACAACGGCACACAATTCTCTTCCAAGTTTTTCGAGGATTTCTGCAGGAAGTACAGGATCAAGCACATTCGAACGCCGCCATTCCACCCACAGTCGAATGGGCTCGCTGAACGCTTCGTGGGAATCTTCAAGAGAGGACTCCTGAAGCTGAAAGGAGAAGAAAACCTTCCGAAAGCCTTGTCGAAGCTACTACTTTGCTATCGCTGTACGCCCTGCCCGTCTTCTGACAAGGGAAGTCACTTAACTTAGGTCAGGCTTTTGAAATGAGACACATATGAGTGGAATCAGCTTGAAACGCTGATTTCAAATCTGCTTTCCTCAGCTGCGAAGCGTTCCTCTGAAGCGAGTCATGAGCTTTTTCCTGAGCAAATTTTGTGTGTTGACCGACTTAGGCATGCTACGTTATCATCATCTAGGTAGTGGTTCAAATGCATATTATACCCTATCAAAGTCAAATGACTCAATTTGATGTTATTTTAGTTTTCCACCACTTTTTGGGCAGATTTTCATCTAAAGACCTTCTTTCCATATTCAGTTGTATGTCAACGAAACATACTAAAAAAGCTCATAACTCGCTTCAGAGAAACGCTTCGCAGCTATGGATAGCATATTTGGAATCAGCGTTCCGAGCTGATTCTAAATATATGTGTCTCATTTCAAAAGCCCGACCTAAGTTGAGTGACTTCCCTTGTGAGAATCGTTCGCCGGCCAAGATGTTTCTTGGACGAACGATTAGTACTCCACTCACACGTATGGTCACTGACGCTCGAACTGTCACACCAACCCACATCCCTGGATCGAAACCGGCGATGGAAGCTATGTACAACCGCCGACATGGAGCCAAGAAAAGGGAATTCGAAGTTTACGATGCCGTCTAGTTCGCGACTACCGTAATTTATCAAAGCCTACTTGGACTTCAGAACGTGTACAATCAAGGATTGGACGCTCACTCTATAACGTGGAAGTCGACGGATTTCTATGGAGAAGCCATGCCAACCAACTACGCTCTCGCATGGTCCCTGACGCCACTACCACGCTGTTGAGAGAGTTCAACCTTCCAGATTTTGAGCTCCCTAAACCTAAACCGTCGCCTGCTGTTTCCACTGATGTTCTCGCTTCCCAAGACGCCGATCTCGATGATGAAGCAGCATCTTCCAATAGATCAGCTGCCGACGCCGAACGTGGACGCTGATGTCGCCGCCACTCAACCGTCTCCAACGCCACTTCGCCGACGGCCGCAAAGGACACATCGACCACCATGCCGCATCGTGATCGACCCGTCAAAGAAGCGATACAATTGATAACTTAAGGGGAGAGATGTTGGAGGGTAGCATTGTATTTGTTATCTTTTGTATGTTGTTGTTTAGCGATCTGATCTATTGGTGTTGTATTGACCTATGCGCGGGATCTGAGTGCTATATAAGGCGTTCCCTGCTAGCTAAGTCATTCGTTCGTCTCGTCTTATCATCTGTACTTATTCATATCCAGTCTACTAATAAATCTATTATTCTACAAGTGTCCTGGATCCACCACAAGTACAAGTACAACTAGAAGGCTACAACAGAAGGCATAAATTTGAACGCAGGCCTGCGGTTAAGTCTATGTCGGGTGCGCTTTGAATACGAAAACCCGAATTTTTTCTCTACTGCTCACACTGCTAAGCATCTATAAGAAAGATGGTACCCTATCACTTCCAAACCACTCAAGAAGTGCGGAATCCTCTATAAAAACACATTCTCGGGAAATACGCATAAAAGTATTTTTAAGTGAAAAAAAGCAGATAAGCATATCTTATAAAGTTATGACACAGCTGGACTAAGGCCACTGCTTTGACTTTCGACTATGTATATGCACAAAGGACTTTGGAAGCCGAGAATTACTTTAGCAGACGGAAATTTTAGGTGGATCTATAGTTTTGTCCAACCTTCGAGCCTGCTTTTTTCGAAATTTTTGATTTTTTTTCCTGAATAATCTAACGAAAGCGGGATCTCCTCCGGTCACTGATAGAAGCCTGTTGGACACAAAGCTGTATCAAAATTCAGATCAATTCGTTGAGAAGCAGATGAACTATGATGCAGATGAGTCCAGATGCAGTTTTTTATAGTGGATTTATGATTTTGGCCAGCACTGTAGATGGAACCTTTGCGTTTTTCTAACAAATCGTCAACGACTCAACGCGTTCCACTACAGAAAGCAAAGCTAAAATAAACAAATTGCTTGTTTATAGTGCACACAGAATCATATGGCATCAATCGTATGCATAGAAAATTATCGCGAAAGATTTATGTAAAAAATATTTGAAAACTTGTATGAAGAAACACCTTTTTCAAATTTAGTCCGTCTCCAGACGGCCATAAGACGATGTGAGACCGTCTGGAGCATATATTTCCGTGAATTTACGCAAGTTTCGGGTTTCTTTAGCATGGACGGATGCCCCGGCCGAGAATCTATCTCAGCATAGAAACAGTTTCTTATCGCCCTCTGTCCACCGTCCCTTTTTTTTCGGAAATCGCCTTGAAAGCTTTCGCGCTCCAACATAACTTTTCTGCTTCCTCTCTCTTTGAATTCTCATTTTCAGTTTCCAGCTTCATTTTCTTTCTTCTGCTCGTAATCTATGTTGATCTGCACTGTGACCAAGTAGGGCTTTATAAAGCAGAATTCTGTGATTTTGTGATTTTTCTTTGAGAGTTTGACAGAAATCACAAATTTCGGAAGTTAAATAAGGGCTAAGTGAGTATGCGGGAATCCACCAACAGTCGGAGGGTGGGGGGGGGGGGGGAGGGGGTAGAGCAAAATCAAAAGAGACTTCGTGAAACATTCAAAAGTCAGGGGGGGACGTTTTCAAAACAAGAACTCATGCCGGACCCTGCTCAATAGGTCACACGATTGTGCGCAAAATTGGGCAAATCGACCATAACTCTTTCTATTAACTGGTGGGCACGTGGCCTTTGAAGGCAGTATCCGTGCGAGGAGTCGTTTTTGAGATTATGTGCTACCTAGGCCTCTATGCTGGATCAAAATCCAAACTGAAGAGCGCGAAAATGGCGAAAAAGCCATAACGCAGGAGGGCGGAGCTTTCCACTCTGTGAAGACACACTTCCAGTTTTAGAACGTCTTCTCTGATTTGAAGGGCGTCGTCGCTCGTGGCGCGCTCTCTGGCAGGTGGCGATGTTAGAGCGGCTAGCGGAAGCGAGATGATCGTTCTTGAAGCTGGGAGAGTGACTTCTAGTGGAAGGCCCCACCCATCTGCCGAATTTCCCTCTTGCGTTAAAGTCCTTCTTCGCCGTTTTCGCACTCTCCGGTGTGAATTTTCGGATTCAACATAGCGATTAGACCCAATTACGCACAGATTCTAAAAACTTCTTGCCCGCACAATGCCTCTGAGTGCAACTTTGTTATTAGACAAAGTTGGAAACAATTTTTAAGCCCTAGAGTCTCTCAATTCCTGAAATTGTCGTGAATTTTAGTCTTACATTAGTCAATATAAACAGAATAAAAATTGTATACGTTAAAATTAGCTTTCAACAAAAGCTAATTTTGACGTATACAATTTTTATTCTGTTTATATTGACTCTCTCCTTTCTAATTAAGCTGATTTTTATCTACAGGGTGTCCCAAAAAAATGTATCCACTGTTTGATTGTTAATAACTTTCTTATTATGAGGTCTTTCGAAAAGCGGTAAGCGTCATTTTGTAGAGCTGGCTTCAGCTTAGACTTATGGTATAGAGCAAATCGTCCATCCTTCTCCGTTACTGTAGGATTACGGTAGAAACTTAAAAGAAGGTTTTGTGCCATGAAAGGCCATATTTTGCCTCAGAAAGGAATCAAAACAGCCTGAAAACTTCTACACTGGGCCAAACACTGGAGTTGCTGATTCTAACTGTAAACTTCCCAACTCATTATGATGTTTGATTGAAGAGTTATGCCAGGTAAGAGGTAGCGGCCATTTTTCAATGTTCCTAAAAAGTGCGGCTACACCGTTTAGAAAGCTTCGTCTTGAGAATTGTTGAGTATTTAACTCAGCTTCCCTAAAAACCCTATTACACAAGTTTTCACATCTTTTTGAAATTTTTTGAACCGGCAGCTTTTTCCACAGTGACACCATATGTCCCAAGTTTCTACCGTAATCCTACAGTAATGAAGAGCGGTCAGTGATTCGCTCTATACTGTAAATCTAAGTTCAGCCAACTCTACAAAATAGCGCTCACTGCTTCTCGAAAGACATTATAATAAGAGAGTTACTAACAGTCAAACAGTGGATACATTTTTTTGGGACACCCTGTATATTAATCATTAGCATCATAAATATAGCAAAACATTCACAACGAAAAACGGAACCTGACCTGTCTACACGCGATTCCTGCCAATTCTTTTAAGACGACTATTCTTGGTTGAAAAAGATTTGGTGACTGAAAGGACAAATTTTATTACTGCATTTCAAACGTTGTTCTTATCTAACGGTAAGAAGATTTCATATCTGCAAACACACAAACCTTGGACTGTCACTATACGAGATTCTAACAGTGTCAAGAAGTTTGTATCTCTGAGCAAAGCTGCTTGAGTAGGGTACCTTGGCAAAATTTCAGACAAAGCTTTTAGCAGACTTAAATGTAGATCATAGTCGTTCACAGTGAGCATTTTCGAAAGTGTGTCACACACATTCTCCGCATTTTCGAGTAAGTCTGCAAATGGTTTAGAGGAGAGTTTGACTCTCTGCTTTGTTTACATTTTGAACCAATGTAAACAGACTTGTCATCATGAAGTTTATTCTGTCTTCATTTGCATTGTGTAGGAGTTTTACAACTGTCCAAGCGCATGTCTAAAATAAAATGGCTGAGAGGGCAAACCACCACTCTATAACAGAATTTGATTTTGCAGAACCTTCTGCAGTTCTCCAGCCGAATTCCGCGCACTTTCGAGTAATAGTTTGAAGAGTTCGTCAGAATCAAACAAGATCTGCAGAAACATTTGAATTTAAATCACATTATATGTAAACTTACCTCACAATCTGCGCTGCTTGAAGCTAATTGCTGGCAAACGGCAGCAGCGATAACAGTACTCTCTGACTGCCTACATAGGCAGTGCCGCTATAACAACCTTTCTGTGGCCGTATTCATCAACGAATCCTGAGGGTTAAACTAACCCTAGAGGGTAAGTTCAAACCTCAGGGTTTATTTGCCGTATTCATCAAGGAACCCTTGAACATAGGGTAGAGTTTTTTTTACCACGAAACGCGATCAACCCGTATCGATCAATGAACCTCGAGGTTCGTTAAACCCGTATTTACAAACGTGGCTCATCAGGGTAAATTTAACCCTGGCACTTCGTACGAACATCAAGTGATCTCTCAACGCACTACTCAGCTTAGCGACACTGTTTTGACAAAAAACACATATATATAATTACTATTAAGTCAAACTTTCTATGGCCTCTATACGTGTTTTTATTTGATGTTACCGACCGGTGTTATATTTAGCCGAATGTTACAGTAAAAGTAGTTTCAAATGAAGTACATGTCTAACAAGGGCTTTGAAATGACGAACTTTAGCAAAGCTTGGCTAAGGCTCCCTCAATCGATTGTTTTGGGTCCACCAATATTAACAATTTTTATGACCATACTTTCGTAACTCAACCAAAAAACGCTTTGATCCAAACAATAAAGTGCTAAAAAATTTTGTCCTAATTTTTATAATACAGTGCTGGGCATAATAATAAAGCCACTCTAGAAATCGTCGTAATTTTCGTTCTTGCCAATGAATCTGTCTGAAACTTTGCTATATTGTGCGTATGTCAACCTACCATGACCCCTCAAAACGGCTAACAGTCTTGTTGAATTTGAACGGAGGAAAACGAAAAAATTCGAAAAAACCCTCTCTGAAAGCTGGACAAAATTATAAAGCCACCTGGTTTTTCTAACCACTATTGCATTCCCTGGCTCTCAAATTTTTACAATTACATCCCAAAACATAAACATTTGCAACACCTACGGCCTGTTATCTTACTCAAATAGAAGCGATCACTGCATCTTTGCTTTCAAAAGCACCAAAAGTCAATCTGCTTCAACATAACTGGTTTGAAGAGTTTTCAAGCTCATGTTCATTTCAAATGATAATCATGGAATCTACTGACCCTTCTGGATAGATGAGGTGAAGAGCGCTTTCGTAAACTCTGCGTAATCGCTGATTTTGACGGACCTCCAACCTCACCATAGGGTTAAAACGCTTTTAAACCACATAACTCAGTTTGCAATGTCCACAAAGTGCTGAACTTGATTTATTACATTGCCTACAAGGGGATGCAGCTTTCGCAACAACTTTCAGAATTTCCCTAATGATGCGGTAGCGATTTAGAACTGAAAAACTTTTCACGAAAATTCCCTGCAAGCAGAAGATTCGATATAACCCTAGATCTCCTTATTTCAACCTGTGTTTCATGTCATATTTCATCTGATGAATGAGATCAGCTAAGATTTTGAAGCTTCAAGCGTCTCCGGTTTTATCTCGTGCTCTGAGCTGGCTTTGATTGTGCAGGGTGCTCCACTCAACATTCAGTGGATGTCAACTACGGCTGAACCAGAGTGCTTAATCCCGAATTTTCTTCCTAGTCATGCACACAAGTTCACTGTTGTATGGCGGTCGTGATGGCTACATTACAGTAAATTCTGTTAGATTGAAAATCGAGTTTTGTGGTGCAAAAGTGCGTCAATCCTATGGTAAAGTTGGATTCTGCCCGTCAAAAGTTTACGAAAGCGCTCTTCATCTCATCTATCCAGAAGGATCAGTAGATTCCATGATTATCATTTACAATGAACAAGAGCTTGAAAACTCTTCAAACTAGTTGTTTGTTGAAGCAGATTAACTTTTGGTGCTTTTGAAAGCAAAAAATGCAGTGATCGCTTCTATTTGAGTAGCATAACAGGCCGTAGGTGTTGCGAATGTTTCACGTTTTAAGATGTAATTGTGCAAAAAATGTGAGTGTCAACGAATGAAATAGTGATTAGAAAAACCAGGTGGCTTTATAATTTTGTCCAGCTTTCAAAGAGGCTTTTTCGAATTTTTTCGTTTTTCTCCGTTCAAATTCAACAAGACTGGAAGCCGTTTTAAGGGGTCATGGAAGGTTGACATGCGCATAATATAGCAAAGTTTCAGACAGATTCATTGGCAAGGACGAAAATTGCGACGATTTCTAGAGTGGCTTTATAATTATGTCCAGCACTGTATGATCAAACGAGGCAAAAGAGGAATCAACAAACTTGAAATAATATTAATTGAAATATGTGTTTGTTGTTAAGTAGCATCGTTAGGGTGAGTGGGGCATCGAGAGATTAATTTATGTTTGGGCAAGTGTTAGGGTAGAGTTAATTTTGCTCTAAGCTGGGGTTAAATTAACCCTGATGAATCACGTAAGTTTTACCTCCAGTGGCCGTATTCATCAATGAAACCCGTGGGTCCCGGAACCCACTGAGTTAGTGCTTTTGATGAATATCGATTCTACTCCAGGGAAGAATCGATATTCATCAAAAGCACTAACCCAGTGGGTTCCGGAACCCACGGGTTTCGTTGATGAATACGGCCACAGAAGTAGTTTAGCCCTCAGGGATCGTTGATGATTACGGGTTAATCGCTTTCGGGGTAAGGTTTACCTCAAGGGTAGATTTAGCCCTCACGATTAAGCCTAGCCTGTGCTTCGTGAATACTGGTTAATCGCTTTTCAAGGTTAAACTTACCCTCCAGTTGCCGTATTCATCAACAAACCCTGAGGGTTGAACTTACCCTTAAGGGTTAGATTAACCCTCACGGTTCATTGGCAGTATTCATCAACCATAGGGTAGGGTTTACCACGGAACGCGATCTACCTGTATCGATCAACGAACCTGTGGCCGTATTCATCAACCCTGAGGGTTAAACCCCTAAAGGGTTAAGGCGTCAGTTACGCGTGCGCTGTGCAAACTCACATCACAGAATGCCTAAGTACGTGCTAAATCCACTTTATACTTCTATTCTTTTACTGTTATGATATAAAGCCAACGAATAAGCTTCTAACACTGGTTTTTATAATACATCTCTAACTTACTCGTGCAGCATCCAGTCTTACAGCGTGAGTTTAATTTCATGTGCGCAATTGTGCAGTGTAAGTTCTACTTTTGCGCAGTTCGTTATATACCGGGCTTGTGCTGCTCTTTTAGGGGTCAATGCGTGTTATCATAAAGGGGTTCTTCTTCTTTGGCACTTGTCAGAGTGGAATGCGCAACCATTTTTCCTCGATTCATCTGTCACCAAAGCTAGAATTCTTTTTCTCGCGAAGTCAGTGTTTCACGTACTTCGCATATGAACATAAAACAAAGTCGAAACTACCCTAATTTCACGCGTATAAGGCGATTTTCCGATTTTTCAAGCGAGCCGCTCAGCCGCTTCACTGTATTCTGGAAAGAAACCCTTATACCCCACGATTCTCTCAAGCAATATACGGCACGTTATAGGGTCCTTTGGTTGTAAAGTCCTTTGGCGTGTCTGGTCTGGTCGATTTGGAAAAAAATTCCCCGCGCCTTATACGCGTGAAATTAGGGTAAATAGTATAGCAACAACTAATGCTAAATACTACAATACTCGTTGATCGTTTTCCATTACTATTAGATGCGCCCCCTCATGGGCTGCTGCCTCAATGTGGCGAGGGGGTGCCCCTGGGTGCAGCAAGAAAGTCCGAATTCGAGTGCCACCACCCCAGGTCAACATGTCAGAATTCGTTGCACCTGCCTGACAACCGCCCGTCAGTGTCATCCAGGGAGCGGCCACTGCTTTGACACACCCCTAGAACGCTCCAGCCAGGCTATCTAGGGAGGCCGGAAATTCAAATGGCTTGTACAACTTCAAACCAGTCGCCCCAGTACCCTGCGCACCGTGTTCGCCTGCCGCTTCGGACGTCGAATGGCAGTACGGCTGATGAGGGGCGAAGAAATCTCAGGTGTAAAAGCGAGACGTCCATTGATCCTATCGGCAACAAAGGGAAATGCAAGGACCTTAGCATCAGCCCACGAGCTGTTCGTTCTCTTAGACGGCGCAAGCCGCATTAAATACGATGTGATTGCTTTGCAGGAAACAAAGAACAGAAGCTCGGTCACGCTCAGAATGAAGAATGGAACTCTTATCATACTAGGAGAGAAGGTTCCAACACGTAATGTCGGAGGCTTGGGATTTGTCGTTCACCAATCCGTTAGCCTCCTCGTCGACTCTTATGAACTTCTGTCGCCGCAACTATCAGTCCCAAGATTTGTTGCTCCAGGGTTGGAAGAAGATCAGTATCATCAACTGTTATTCGCCCACAGATGCAGCAGATGAAGCCGAACTCGACAAGTTTTATGAGGAGCTGGAAGACGCCATTCGCAAGGAGAACTCGTTCTACAAGTTTATCGTTGGCGACTCCAATGCTAGGGTAGGAAAGTTCACAACACCAACAATGCGACAAAATCGGAAAATTTGGACTCGAAACTCGGAACGAGAATGGAGACAGACTTGTCAGACTCATCGAAGCGGCCCGTTTATTCCATGGAAATTCGTTTTTCTAGAAGAAAGAACACCGCCGCTGGACGTGGGAGTCACCAAATGGAACGGCACATGCAGAAATCGATCATATTCTCGTCAACAGGAAATGGAGCTGATCGATGTCGAAGTGGTTCCGTCGTTCTGTACAGGTTCGGACCACCGCCTACTTCGTGCAAAGATCCACTTCAACCGAAAAATGGAAAGGATATCTTGCCATCGCGCGAAGTCTAGAAGAGAAGCCGTTTACGACGAACGCATTCTCGAAAACGTCATTTCCAGGTATGACTGGAAAGGATGCGAAGATCCAACAGAAGATCTAGAAAAGCTGTTTAAAGGACTACGCAGCTGTGCAAAGCAGGCAATTCTTACTGTGGAAAGAGGTTCGGGACGGTTAACGAACAACACCAAGGAGCTTCTTTGGAAAAGGAGAATCCTGTACGCAAATTTAAGTGTATCGCATCTCGAACAAGCACTGTTCAACGGCATTTGCAGAAAAGCCGTACAGGAGAATCTGAAGCGATATCGACAAATGAAGATATTGGAAGCACAGAACAGGAGAAGTCTGAAGAGGTGTCGTAGGGACCTTCGCGAGCACGAAATACCGATGCAAGCTTTACTGAATAAGGACTGAAGATTAGTGAATTCCCGACGCGAGATGGATGCGATAACAAGGGACTTCTACAACGAAATTTTTCGATCCACGACGCCGGTACCAGACCCTATCATCCCCACCGAGAGCCACAGCGTATTCTTCCTTCGGAAGTACGTTCGGCCATAGAGTGCATGAAGCCAGGCACAGCCCCTGTCCGGACGGTATCACCGCCAACTTACTGAGAGCAGGAGGACACAAGTTACACACACTACACTCATATGACATGCTACTTGGAAAAGGAAAGAATACCCAACCAGTGGAAGACGTCTCGTACTATTCTTCTTCACAAGAATGGCGGAAGAGAAGACCTCAAGAATTACCGACCGATCAGCTTGCTAAGTGTGCTTTACAAGCTGTTCACGAAGATCATCATGTCGCGTATTTCAAGGACATTGAATGAAGCACAACCGACGGAGCAAGCCGGATTCCGTAGAGGATTTAGCTGCGTCGATCACATCCAAACCGTCTCAAGAGTAGCGGAGGTCTGCCGTGAATACCAACTGCTCCTACTCCTCACCTCCGTCGATTACGAAAAAGCCTTCGATAGTCAACGCCGTTTTAACTGCTCTGATCGACCAAGGCGTGCAACATACATAAGGACTATACGGACTGCAACAAGAAATGTACCAGTACGATACGCTGCTTGACCACCCGCTCCGCATCCGTATCGAGAAAGGAGTCCGACAAGGCGACACGTTGCTCCAAAGCTGTTTACCGCGGTACTGCAATGGTGCATGCAGTCGCTCGATTGGGAAACGAAGGGGATTTGCGTGGATGGAAGGTACCTTTCGAATCTCTGTTTCGCAGACAATATCGTTCTGTTCTCGAAGTCTGTTAATGAAGCCGAAGAGATGCTGAACGAACTGAACGAAAGGGGAGGAAGATTGGGCTCAGGATAAATCGAAAGAAGACGCAGTTCATGAGAAACATCTGGTGTAGTGAAGGCCAATTATTCCTGCATGGAACGCCGATAGAAGAGACTTCATCCTACGTTTACCTTGGACGTGTCATCAATATGAACAACGACTTGAACGACGAACTTAGCCGAAGACAGAGAGCAGCTTGGGCAGCATTCAGTCCTCTGAGAGAGGTTACAGACAACATTGCTGATGCGGAATTGCGAGCTCATTTTTTCAATGCGACAGTTCTCCCGGCCTTGTGTTACGCAGCCGAAACCTGGGCTGATACCTCAGCAACCGTGAAGGCACTACGAACGGCACACAGGGCACTCGAAAGAAAAATTCTGAAGATGACCAAGTTCAAGCAGTATATCGACTTGGAATCCGGAGCGCCGACCTCAGACAACAATAGCGTCTAGAAGATCCAGCAGAGTACGTATCGAAGAATAAGCACAGATGGGCCGGTCATATATTGAGAAGAGATGACGACAGATGGACGAAAAGAACGATAGAATGGATCCCAAGATCCTCGAAACGTCCACGCGGAAGACCACCAAAGATATGGTGTGACGAATTTGTTGCCCGTGTAAACCAACTGCGCCAGAAGTTGGAGTTTAATTCAAGATCGTCCAGCAGCAATCGCAACCGCGTATCAAAACGATCGTGGATGACGATTGCACGAAACCGCAACGAATGGACAAAAGTTGGGGCCCGCACGACGACGTGAAGACAGGTCATCTATGTAATCTAATAAGTTTCAGATGCGAGTAAATGTTTGTATGAAATGTTAGGGTAGAGTTGACCTTGCTCTAAGCTAGGGTTAAACTATCCCTGATGAATTACGTAAGTTTTACCCTCCAGGGTTAGTTCAACCCTCAGGGTTCGTTGATAAATACGGGTTAATCGCTTTTGGGGTAAGGTTTACCCTCAAGGGTAGAGTTAACCCTCAGGGTTAAGCCTACCCTGTGATTCGTGAATACGGTTTAATCGCTTTTCAAGGTTAAACTTACCCTCCAGGGTTAGTTTAATCCTCAGTGTTCGTTGATGAATATGGTCACTGGTCGCACACTGATTGGGATTTACTTACCAAGGCTTCGTAAAATTTCGGATGCGAGCTAACTAATTTCCTTTGCTCATCACTGCCGCACATCAGATTTGACACAGTTTTGATTGATGCGTATTGCAGCTGATCCTTCAAAATTAGTAGGAAATGAAAGAACTGCGTTTCGATTCATCACTGTATGTTCTCACCGACACGATTATTTCAAATATTAGGTTCACCAATTTGCGCTCTTTGAGGAGAATACCCTGTAATCAACAACACCTTAGCATACTGCTTCGGCGCCGATTCCTTTTAGAGTATAGGTGTAAAAGCAGCGGCTCGGCAAAATTTCGTTTTCCAGTTCTTCACGTTTTCGGAGCCTTCTCGCCATGAGAAACCCATAACTGGGCTTTTCAGCGCATGGAAATGTCAAAAATGTGCTTTTTCCAAAGCTTTCCAGGTCAGCCTTTAGGCAGAAGTGGGCGGGGCTTGGAACGAAAAAGGCAGGCCGCGGCTTTTTCGGGCGTACCTTCACTGAACGCGAACCTAAAAAGCTTCGGAAAAAACGCATTTTTGGCATTTTCATGCGCTGAAAACCTCAGATATGGGTTTCTCATGGCGAGAAGGCTCCGAAAACGTGAAGAACTGGAAAACAAAATTCTGCTGAGCCGCTGCCTTTAATACATACCTACGAGTGTTATATCTAAGGCCAGCAACACTGCGGATTACAAACATCAAGCTCGGAGGGTTGTTTCCATGCCTAGCTACCGTTCTAGGTTTTGCAGCGCTTGAACGCGGAGGGTAAATTCATCAACATAAGACATTCCAGTGCGTGGGGTGTGGCACGCCACAATTGGAGGATCATTCTAAGGGGTCACAGAGAGTGGGGTGGAGGCGGGAGGGGAAAGGTGGGTCGTAATCGAGAGATACTGATCTTAACGGTAACATGGTATTTGTTAACGATGTTAAATAAGCCTTAGGCGAAACAGAAGCGCAAGATATTTGAGCCATCTTCGTGTAAAGGTCCTTTCAGCTTTACAGTCGCTGGAGCGCACCGGGAATTCGCACTCGCAGCATCCGTGTCCTAATCTCTTTCATTATCCAAGTATTTCTCACATATCTCTTCTTCAAAGCTTTCAGTCTAGGCAATTGTACGTTCTCAGTTCACCTAACAAGAACATTGTAAGACCATCGCTCCGGGCAAGGTTCGAAGCAGGGCCCGGCACGAGGTGGGCAAATGACAAGCTGGAAATCGTTTTGGGGCCAAAAAAGCAAAGGGGATATCGTTTTTGCGGGATCCGGGGTGGAGCCCCGGAAGAAGATTCCAAGTGCAAGCAAAAGAAGGTCGAATCATGCTTACCTTATACATCTAATTCATCGGGAAATAGTCTTCGTAAACCTCAACGCACAGCAGACTTCGCGCGCACTGCGCCGCGTTGCCGCTAATTGCCGCGTGCGCGACGTCGCATGAGCGATGCCGTAACTGATCATGTAACATGCCAATGAACAGCATGATTACATGATCAGTTCTCAATGCAGGCGCAATGATATAGCACCAAATTACGTAAGCGAACTAAGAGAGGCTAGTAGAAACAAAGCATGGAATGTTATGAAAAACTTATGTGGATGGGAGGTGTAATAAGCATTTTTTCCAAAAATTCGCAAAACTGGTAAATGAAGATGCGAATTTAAATGGCTCGTTTACAGCGCACAGATGACCATACGGTATGAAACTTGGTAGGTATATGGAGACGGGCCTGCAGGGCTTATCTTAGGAGTTTCATTGAAAATTTATGTGATTGAAGGTTGTGGCAAGCTTTTTTCTGAAAATTTCCCACTATCAAGAAAATGGAAAAATGGCTCGTTTGCAGCGCAGAGACAACGAAATCGCGCGAGACTTGGTGTGTATACGCGCAGTAGGACTAAGGAACAATGTATGAAAAATTATGAAAAACTTATGTGAATAAAGAGCGTGCTTAACTTTTTTTTTCCAAATTAGATGGGCAATTGCCCACCTAATGCCCACCTGAGGTGGGCAAAACTTTCAGTTCACACAATTTTTTCAAAATTTTTACGTAAATCTGTTGCTCACCTAAAGTTTACTATATGCTGATATTTTGGTTCCGAAACTCCTCCTCTTGTCTTTGTTAGCGCCCAAAATCGAAGCAGCAGCCTAGCTTTCTAAGATGGAAAGCGCGCCCCAGTCATTCGATACGCGCGGGAACGGCATCTCTCAGTCCTATGACTGCGTTCCTTTGATATTTTTTCATTCCTTCATCATTTTCCTTGCTTATTCTTCTTCCTGTTTTCTATCTTGACAGGTGAGGAGTAATTAGAGGAATTTGAGCATTTTGGGCGCTTTTGAGCGCTTTTAGGCGAAGTGTGGCCGGTGCTCTCGTTCCAAAAGCACAAAGCGTCATTTTTGGGCTCAAGGGGGTATTCGTAAAAGCTATTGGGGTCAAAAGGGAATTTGTTTTGGAAAACCCCGTCTGCCCACCTCGTGCCGGGCCCTGGTTTGAAGGTATGCTTTGGTTATATCTGGGATTGCACGGTCCTCAGTGATTTATGATTAATCGTTATTATTCTTGAAGGGAACCACTGATGTGATTTGAAACAATTTATAAAATTTTCTGAAAAAAAAAAACAAGTTAGCCTTGTAAAAAAATGTTGTGGACTCACAAAAATTCTAAGAAGCATCCCAAAAATTTTTTTGGAGTGCGTGGCTAACGCCACGTACCTTCATTTGGAAGAAATCTTTGTCCTCCTCCTTCTCTCTGGACGAAAATCCTGCGACCGCCACTGATACAGAGTGGAGCAAAGCTGGGAGGCGACTTTGCAATGTTGTAAATCACAATACTACAATTAATTTTAAGTCTAAATTTTTGCCGCATAATACTGCAATCGTTCACTACAAATCATACTCTACCTAGCTGAAAATGCTTGCCACATTTTTTTTTGTAAGAAATGGATTTATAAAACAAAACGCTTCTACAAAGCGAAAACATCAAAAATTTCAGCATTCACGATATTTCATATAGGTGAAGATACTGTAAATATCCTACAATCCTTCAATGCATGCAGTGTAGAGATGGCTCTGTGCTCTCATCTCGTAGTAGTTGCGCCAACTATTCTTTCGAAAACGCAAAACAAAATTCACAAATATTATACGTGCCAGTGGCCAACTATCTTCAAAATGGACTAGCTGGCTTACCCGGCTCCACCCGGCCCTGGCAAAACATTATGATAAAGGTCCCGTTTTTATCCCAGTACAACTTTTCCCTATGTCCACTTCTACATGCCAATTCCCTATTCCCGTAGTGTTAGTAATCAGTATGCTCTTACCTCTGCGCCAATTCCCAGCCCCGTAGCTGGAAACTTGCAAAAAATCGATAAAATCGATAGGGTAACAATTAATTTTAGAAACTATACTGTTTTCGTAATTGAAAAGGTCGATCACCCTCTGTGTCAACTCCCAGCCCCGTTGCTCAAACTTTGCAAAAAAAATCAATAAAATCGATAAAGGCAATCGGTAAGTCAAAAATATAACTTTGTATTCGTAATCAGCATGCTCACATACCCCCCCCCCTCCCTTGCCAACTCCAAGCCTCGTAGCTTGAACTTTACATACAATCTATAAAAAAAAGATAAAATCCATATCGATCGACAACGAAAAGTAGCCTATGACACGCTCCTCGTCCGGAAGTATATGCATGCCAAGTTTGATCCAAACGGTTCAGAAATAAAAATTTACTCCGCACATACGCAACTGGGCCAGCCCGCTTAGTGCAGTCACACACTTGCGCGCGACCGCTACTGTGGGCCAGTGGCGTACCCAGGATTTCGGCTCGGGGGGGGGGGGGGGGCGCGACAAAAAATTTTTTCTAAAGAAGGTGCGTGGCGTTAGCCACGCACTCCGAAAAAATTTTTGGGGTGCTTCTCAAAACTTTTGCGGGTCCCCGACCCCTAAAATCTGGAAGAAGGGGGCGTGGCGTTAGCCACGCCCCCGAAAAATTTTTTTTTACAAAGCTTTTGATTTTTTAAAAATTTTTAAAAGTTATTTTAATTATTTACAAAAATAAACAAGTCACTTGCACATTTTTATAACCCATATAAGTAACTTTCAAAAATTTCGCGACCCATTCTCGGGGGGGGGGGGGGGGGCGCGCGCCCTCCCCCCTCGGTACGCCACTGCTGTGGGCTGAAGCGTGCAAGGACCATGCCGCGCAAAGCGGCATGGTCCTTGCACGCTAGCTTTAGCTACTCTTCCTGCTTTTTTCTTAACTTATTCGCTGTCTTGCTTTCAAATTTATGAGCTTTTATTGTCTAAACTCTCCCTCGGTACTTCCGCAGATCGAAAGCATCACCGCGAGAATGGAAGACCAAAACGGAGGTTTGAGTTCTAAAAGGAGATGTAATCTAAATCATTTTAATTCTAAAAACGGCTGGTGCTCTTCCTCCTTACAGCTAAAGGTGAATATGTGAGGTGTAGTTGTATATCGTATAGGTTGAGAGAACAGTTTGAGTAAAGCTTTGGCGCTGTTCACACAAATCTAAACGATATACGATTACGTTTGCTGAAACGTGAGTCGGTATAATCTCAGACAATCGCCGGGGGCAGGCAGGCGCCAGGAAAATGCGCGTTGCTGACATTTCGCATTCCGTTCGCAAATTTCCGAAATATGGTTAGCGAGTTTTGCGAGATGGACGAGTGGCGTAGTGGTATGAGGCGCCGCTATGACCAGATCGGACTCAGGTTCGATCCCCGCCCCTGGGCCAACCAAGCCCTCTACCCCCCGGGGACGGTAAATTGGTACCAGAGTAGTCTGGGAGGATAAAAGCACTGACTTGGAAACGGCTGGCCCCCGCAAGTCACTGTAATAGGCTCGCACGCATACAATTGCCTCTTCGACTATGAAGTTAGTGTGCGTTCGGCGCATGCCCCAGAGGGTACTGAAGACGCCGAATCCTTTATCCTTTATTTATTTAGTTTTGCGAGATTGCCTGTTGAATCTTTTTTCGCTCTTATTTTTTGCAGATATATTGCTAAACCTCTGAGGAATCCAGTGGCCGTATTCATCAACGAACCTCAAGGTTAAATTCTACCTCAGCTAGCAATTTGGCTTATAACCCGTATTCACAACATGATCGCGATGAAATTCTCTCATGGGTTAAGTCTACCTTGAGGTAGAAATGAACCTTCAAACGCATAAACCCGTATTCATCATTCTACCTTGAGGTTGAATTTTACCTCAATCATCATTTCTCC